TGCGTTTCAGAAAAGAGAGCATCCATTTACAAAACCTAATGACGTCCATGGTCCAGTGCGTTTCAGAAAAGAGAGCATCCATGTCCAAAACCCAATGACGTCCATAGTCTAGTGCGTATCAGAAAAGAGAGCATCCATGTACAAAACCTAAAAACAAAACGTGAAAAAAACTTCATGTTCTAGCAGATTCGAAATGATTCTTCTTGGCATTTCACCGAGCGGGGATGGTACTTTCCACTGCTCTTCAACAGCTTACTGTGTGCGTAACTAGTTGAATAACGAGTAGAGGCACAAGAACCGCACATGTTGAACATCCACGAACTGAGCGACCGGCGTCGCACCAGCGGGGGATAGGGTAGTAGCAGTAGCAGTAGTAGTAGTAGTAGTCGTCGTCGTCGTCGTCGTGGTGGTGGTGGTGGTAGTAGTAGTAGTAGTAGTAGTAGTAGTAGTAGTACCAGTAAAAGTAGTAGTAGTCGTCGTCGTCGTAATAGCAGCAGCAACAGCAGAAACAGTAGTGCTACAGTAGCGGTAGCAGCAGTCGTCGTAGTATCGTCGTCGTCCTTCACATTCAATACTCAAGCCCGCTACGAGTGCAAAAAGCAGACTGAAGCAAGGTCGATCAGCGAACGCGCATCTGTCTTTCCTTCAACTTCCGTTTTGATTGCTCTGGCACTGGTCGGACGGGAGAAGGTCCCAGCTCTCCACAGCCGCATTGTGGATGTAGCTGGCAGCCGCCCTGGGGTTAGCAGTCGTTGGCTTGGCAGCACTACCAGCTGCGTCAACACAAGTAGCTCTTGTTGCAACGAGCATCCGAATAAACAGTGTTATACACTCCGCAGGCTCGAACAATATGCAGGCATGCCAGGTGGAAGCTTCGAAGCTCCGAAGGTTGGAAAGAACATGGCCCCATGGTCAAACAAGATAGCCCAAAGGCAAGGCCAAACTGCGAATATACCTTGACAAACTGCGCGTCGGGCCTCTTCCTGCCAAACTCCCAGATGTCCTTGCCACCCGGGCAGTCTGGGCGAGCCAAGTACCGAAGGTTAAGCTCCTTCGGAGCCGCTGGACTCGGACCCAGCGGAACTGCCCAGCGCACTTGGAATGGCTCGTTGTAATTTCGCCGGCTGATGAAGTAGACGGAGGAGACCTGAACGTCTGTCAACCTACTTTCTGAAAAGTACGTGACCAAGCTGTAGCAAAACTGCTTGCAAGACTGCCTCACGATGCCTCACGATAAACCCGAGCTCCCCCCAACGGCCCAAGCGCACAGGAAAGGAGAGTGAGGACCAGGTCTTCTGAAAGGCTTCCACAGCCGCTGCAGCCTGAAGCCGCAGGAGCACAAAGCGAGTCAGTATCGGCGCCGAAAGACATCGTTGAGAAGGCTGAACAATGCAATACTCCCACCTCCGTGGCCCCCCGCCAGCTGCCGACGGAGAGGTGTGGAACAAATTTGCCGATGTCCCGCGACCTTGGCAGCGTGAGGGGGTACATCGTTCTTCGGCACAGCAGGTCATGCCGAAAAATGCAGATGGATATACTTCGCACCTCACAGAGCTATGAACTGCCAAGTAGCGGGTCATCGGATAAGTCCGTGCAAGATGGAAACGCTCCCAACAGCCTGATGCAGCAATCGACCAAACTGTCATGACCATTGGCGTCACTAATGCTCAGATTTATACTCCCTGGCACTGCCCATCACGTACAACCGGTTGCCTCTCGTGGACTGCATGAAGAGCCGGAGAATCTGCATCAGTGGCATCATCACCCTGCCAAGCGATGACAAAGCAGTCAAAACATGGTCTACATTGCATTATAAACCGAGCACAGGGAAATCCTCTATCGGGGATGAATCGCCGCAGACCGTGGCTGTTCCATCGATGTTGGAGACGGTCCACACCACAATATTCTGACATCTGAGATACAGAAGGCAGCTGCAGCGTGGCACGGCGAAGACAAGTAAAGTGTTTCAACAAAACCTTAAAGAGCACCCATACACAGCTTCTCTCTTGCCTCCTGCGGCCTCAGCCAGACCTGAGAGGCTTCAGCCCGAGGCTATCGGACATCAGCATGCACGGCGTATGCCTGCCTTGCATTCACGGCCTATACAATGTACAACCAACCCAAATCTCGCGAATCGTTAGTGTTTTCAGGTCAACGTTTTGCAAAACGTCTGTTGAACTGGGTAGCATGTGCTTAGCCACAGCACTGTGCAGCTCCGTCGGCTGTGCTCGAAGAAATGGAACTGTTGCCTGCAAGATTGGTAGCATATTTCAAGCAACTGCTCACTGCTCGCGTTTGCTGGCAACTGACTGAGGCGAGTGGCAGCTGGAGAGTGAACGGCTCCACGTCTTGCAGGGCCTCGCGTGCACGAGCAGCAGCCGCCTCAAAGTCGCCACCAGAGTCCTCTCCCCAGGAGTTGCTCCACCGATCTCACAGCTAGGCCTAGTGCATACCTGTCCGTGCGATCATCTCTCTTCACCATCCTCCCGTCAAACATGATCTGCCTGAACTTGGGAACGAAACTACCGTCAGATTCCAACTCAAGATGGCAGGTCCTCCAGAAAGGGGTAGAGCATATTGATGTGTGGCATCCTCGACTTGACAATGCTCGACAAGTGCTGCTAGGACGGCGCAGCCCATCCAGCAAGACGTCCACCTCTTGGCTACTCATTGCAAATCCCACACCTGCTCTGCACAACAATTATCATCCCGGTTGATCTTGTGCCTGACGGAAATGGTCAGAACGTGCAGGAAACCTAGATTCAAAATTCAAGCGCTGGCAGGCAGTATGGCACCTGATGCTGGAAACCAACACTGGCAGCGTTTGATGTTTAAAATCATTAAAACTCTTTGGCCTGTAACTATCTGAAACATAGCTTCTGAAATCGAATCTTCCACCGAGAGTCCAACGGAAGAATCCTTTATCGCGGCCGCGGCGTATCTGCTGAATCGGATCCCACATCTGCACGGGAGGCATAACAACCTCGTGAGCAACACATGATCGACCTCCAATCGGCCACCACAGGGCATCGTATGCCACCGAGCGGCAAGCGCACTCTTGACAGACTTTACCGCGGCGAATGTCGGGGACAGGCCGCCGAGAAGCGCCTTTGTATCATGAATAACGACTGAGCCCGAGCAATGCTGAAGGCCAACTAATCGAGCACTGTGAGCAGGGTTTGTAGCAGCACACCAATACTACGTTCAACTGAGGGAAACACACCTGCCGAGAACCATCGCAGAATCCGCAAGCTCTTCGGCGAGCGGAGATGGCCAGCTGGGCTCATGACTCAAGTGCAAACCAGTTCTCCCTAACCCTTTCGCATGCGAGCTGTTGGAGCCGTTTTTGGCCTGCCACGGCTGCCCAAACAAACATTGTGATCAACTCACTCTGACGAAATTTAAACCCTGGCGGCTGCGAAGCTGCATGCAAGCGCTTCTTGCAAAGACAACTTGAATCGGCGGGGCTTAACCTTGGGCTGGGGCGGAGCGGCTGGGAAGGCGTGTGGATCGGTGCGACGCCTTGCGGCCTCTCTTAACGCCACTACCAAGCAAAAACAGTACGGACTTCTGACTGCAAAAAAACTGCAGAAGCAAGCCCTAGCCCAGAACACTTCCCGAGTTTACGACTTGACTGGTGCTTCTGGCATGGGTTTTGGCAACGGTCAAAGCAAATTTTAACTCTTAGGAATCCTATTCCCAGGATTTTTGGGATGCAAGCTGCGCCCAAGGCCCAACAGAAATGACGGAGCTTTGCACCCTCACTCGGAGCGGGAACCCCGAGAAGCCCCAAGCCATACACCCATGAAGCCACTACGCACCTCGACTTGACCATATGTACCGCGGGGAGATTTGCCGAGTTTCAGACAGAAGGGAGACCGGCCAACGAACGAAAGCAGAGAGAACAACTACTGGACCCTTGGACTGCAGGAGGCACCAGCAGAACGTACTGACCTCATGAACTGCACTCCTGACCGGCGAGTGTCGCTTTTTTAAGCTCCTCTTGCACACCGCCCCATCGCTTAGGCCGGCTGGTCTGAGTGCAGCGAGCTTGCATAGGAGATGTACTCCTGCGAGCGGCGGCTAGCAGACTTGGTGTCTTCAAAGGGCAGGGCTGCCTTCCCCGCAGAGTACCAAACCAAACGGCTTCTGAGCTCAGAAGTCCTTTTCCGACATGCACACGAGTTGCTAATGACGGGTACCCGGAACAGATTCACAACTGCCAGCTCTCATTAACTTTTGCAGCGCAGCCGATTTCCCGTCCTGCAGTGAGATTGTTCCAGAAAGGTCCTGCCAAGTTCCAACAAGATGAGAGTCGCTCATCCTCCTAGCTGTCACCGAAATAACTCAACAAAAACGTCATCAAAGCCCACAGTGTGAGCTAGCACAGCACCAAAGTCCAATGTCGGGTCCTGGTCGACGTCGATGAAGAACCTTAGACGACCAGAGAAGCGAAGGTGATTTCAAGATGCTTCAAGTGTGCAAAAAATAACAGGGCGTGATTTCGCGGAAGCCAAGGTTGCATCGAGGCAAACCGCTAACCGCGCCTACCAAGGATAACTTGGCTGCGGGCTGGTGAAGTTCTTTCGGATCTAGCTCTCCCTTGAACCTGCCAAACGCAGTTGTGAGAGTCAGACATAGATGGGTATGCAGCAAAGTCCGACGAAATGACATCAATCATGATCGTTCCTATCAATCGCGGCGGCGCCGCTGCGTGCGCACTTCTTGCGCATCGATTTGCTTATCCTGCAATTGAACAAGCTGCCCAATGTCCAAGACGAAACTACAAAACCAAGAATCTGCAAGAGCCGCCAATGGCAACAGCCGTGCAACCGTTTGGGCGCCTTGTTGAGGTCGAAGTCCAGGAAGTCCTGCAACAGCGACGGGGCCTTGAGGTGGTGCTGTGCCACTCTGATCAAAACGCCTGTCACACCCACAGCATCATCGGGCGGCTGCCTGCTGAAACTCTTCCGCCTGTTGTGCCGTTGGCTGCTTTGTCTCCTCTGCCTGAACAGGATCTGGGGAGTCAAACAGCTGTATTCCAGCGGTCTTCTGGGTCCTCGGGTCGCCTCTTTGGCTACCGAAGAGGCTGCAGAGGCATAGCTGTTCTCTAATTCTTCTTGTTTGGCAACGAGTCAACCGCTTCGACAATCGCTCGCTTCACTCAATTCGGATCGAGCACTTCGAGACTGGTGCAACTCCCGAAAACCCTCCAGGATCCAGATTTTACGATTAGATGTGATCCTTCGCTCACAACAGGAGTAAAGACAACTCAACTCAGAGGCAAAACTCCTCCACAGCAGCGACTGCAGGCTCCAATGACGAGGGTTCAGAGCATCGTTCGGATTCGTAATCGAAACAGACGCGTGCCCCTGTTCGCACGATGTGACGTTCCGCAGCACCGTGGCGACGTGGCGACTGCCGGTCTTCGCACTTCGACACTGCTTTGTCAAATTTTGCTGCGACGAAGCGCCGCAAAGTGTCGCAGGAGATGTGAGTTTCCACGATGACGGTACGGTTCCACACCACTCGTGGAATCACCGCACGGAGCGAGCCGCAATAACCTGACCCAGCTGCGGTGATCAGAAGGTCGAAGGAGAAGCAGGGTGAGAAAGGGAGAGCCAGAACAAAAGAAAGACCGGCAGCCGGTTGTTCATGGAAAGGCTTGCTCCCGCGCGACACGTTAACCGGGAGGCCACTTTGGGTTTGCAGTGTTCAGTCCAAGAGAAGTGCACAGGAACGACGCCGCTGTTCGTAGTCAACTTTTGGACGCATGCCAAGAAGTGGACATGTCGACGATCTTGCCTTTCGGATCCAAACTAGAAAACGTTAGCATGGTCCCAAGAGTGGTACCACACCAAACTTTTGATGAATGGAGTCTACGCTTCTAGAGAATCGACGACCACACCCTCCACACGACAACAACAACGATGGCACCGATACTTTGTGTGACTTACAACTTGAAATGGTATTCAATTCTGGCCAGTAGAGAGTGTAGCCAGAGATGGCAATCTGGATACATGGAACACACAACGTGCCCAAAGAAGGCAACCGTGCAGAGCTGACCTGCGTGGAGGCAGCCGGTTGCGCAGAGAAGCACAAGGCCGCGAAGAGCAAACGACGCATCATCCACAGCCTTCTTCGGCAGCCAGTGCCGACATCTTAGGATGCAAGAAACCCAAGGCACTCCTGATATCTTGGGATCGACACTGCGGGCAGCGACCGCTGCTCAGGGGTGTGTTCATTCACAGAGTCTCATGTGTCAAAGGGTACTTCTCGGAGTCAGCGCAGGTTGAAAGCTGATTCAGTGTCACGGTGAGGCCGCTACTTGAACCGAGCCTTGAAACAGGAACGATTCCGTTGTGCGCTGATGTGCCGGCTCTACGCACACTCAACAGTTTGAATTTCCTTGTTTTCGTATCTCGAATGACACTGCACATGTGAAACTGCTGCTGGTCCACTGCGCAACTAAGAACTGCAGCAGCAAACACACTCATCTGAGGATGCTGCCTGCACTCTTCTCATACAATGCACGGCGAAGCATGCAAGCGGTGAGACGATAGAAAAAAAACAACGGTATGTGTGGCATGATCTGCATGCACATGTCCATTCATTAACATGTCACTTCAGGCTAACAGCGCAAGAGCTTGTCGAAGCACTTCAAAGTCGCCAGCACTGTGAACACACCCACCTTCAGTGGACCGGGAGTGCTCTTAGATGAACGCATTTTGCATCGGCTCTCGAGTCTCGGACAGAGGCAGAGGGCCCTGGAGCACCGGAGATGAAAGTCCTTCGGCGGTCGCGTCCGCGTCCCACGCTGAGCTCAAAGAAAGACAGGAGATGTCTAAGCTGTGCCTGTATGGCGGAGCAGTGGTATCATAGCACTGCGGCCTGGGCTAGACCGGCTAGGCCCGCTTGCAGCAACCCTTTCGTGCATCCGCGTCTATCGTGCACTGCCGGCCTCTCCAAACGGAAGCCATCGCATTGGCCACAGGGCTTGCCGAGCTCTCTCGTTCTGGGTGCAGGTGCTAAACCCTTTTAAGAGACTCCAGCTAAAACGAGTGTGAGACGTGGCCATCTGGGGCCAACACACACTGCCGCAAGCACTTCCTCGAACAAGTTCGGAGGCTATTCGACGCTGGTCCTGGCCAAACAGCAAGCATGCTCCCTTCGGCATCTTCCTGCAATACCCTGTGCATGAAATGATGTCAAGCTCTGACCGTGAAACCATAACTTGCTTCCCAAATCCAGAAACAAGAGGGCCTGCGTCAAAAGCTGCGTCTCCACACCTTCCTGACAGCCAGTGCTTGCCTGCTCCCCGATGCAGGGATCCCTCGTTGTATCAAAACATCTCCTGAAAGCAGGTCGGCACCAAGGACAGCTCGACCGGAACCTGCAAAGAGACCTGAACGAACAAAAGACCATGTGCAAGGCTTTCTGCTGAGGTTCTTGATGGCCACAAACAACTTCAAACCGGTTGACATCCGGCCATGTCGAGAAAACACAAACAAGAAAACAAAGAGCGGCAACAGCAAACAAGAAGCCTGGAGGCAATCACAGGTCACCCAGCTGCAGCTCAGGTCATCAGCCTCGGAGTGAACTTCGAGAATTTCTACATCAGCTTCGGACCAACCACGTCCGCTTGTCACGAAAACCCGGCGCTCATTGCTAAGGTTTGCAGATACAGTGCGATGCAGCTTTGCATTGACAAAACCTGTCACAGCCAAGGCGTCGACCAGTGGCCTCGATGCAAACAAGCTTTGCAAGCGTGTGACCAACAGCACTCTGCCATCAGGTTGCCACGCAGAATTTCCGAGCACCCTGCTGACAGGACTCTGCAAAGGCTGCTATCCAACGTTCGAAGCGCTGCGGGTCTGGACACTGGCCTCCTGCATGGGCACGGGTCTAGGAGCCAGCAATCCGCGCACTAGCTTCCAACGACCGCTTGCAGGCCACTCGAAACAGCTAGCATCTGGATCTGCCTACAGCGAAGGTTGACCTCACACTGGCAAGCAGACACGAAGGAAGCGACGATGCCTCCCGGATCTTGTGCCTCGATGGCTCTGACGTTCTAGCGGGGTTGTTAGAAAGCCATCTGTTCTTAGGAGAGGGCCTGCACAAGGCCAATCACAACAATACCAAGGAATCTGCACGGCCGAAGCGAGAGCAGCATCCTGACGTTGCGAAGGTCGTGAAAGGAAAGCCATCGCCGGTGCAAATATCTGTCCATTCTGAGGTCGCGGCATCCCGCACCCTACTGCGGTTCAATGCAGTCGTCTCTTCATGCAGAATTTTGCAAACATATCCTGCGAACCTATGCTCCTGGCAGGTGTGGGCGGCTTTCTTGCATTCGGCTGTCCCCTAGACCAGCTGCCGTACTTTTGCAAGCATCTGGTATCTTTTGTTGCCTACACGGCAGCTGAGCACAGCTCGGAACGGCCATCACTTTGAATCTTTCCAGTGTCATGCCCCACCTTCCCCCGCCCTCAACAAGAAAGAACACTCTCGGCCATACGATCCCTGGAAGGCAATCGGAGCTGCAACACACTCTTTCGACGCGGTGCTTCGGAGATTCAATCTAAACGTCTAGCGTGGGCTTGTTGAAGCGGCGGAGATGCAGCTATCACCAGCTAGGCCAAAGTCGACTAGACAAACCCACTGCAAACCCGCCAGCACTACACACTTTGCACAATGCACCCGAGGTGCAGCTGGTCTTTGGTGCTCTCTGGAAACTCCTGCAGACCGGCAGAGGTGTGGCATAGTCCTCCATAAAGCCTTCTGATGGAAGCTTCCAGCGAAGTCCGATCTTCAGGGAGACCCAGCCACACGGCCTACAAAAGCTTCATGCCCACCTTGCTGGGCGAGGGCTCCGTGTCAAATGACGGGGTGTTCCTGCTTTGTGTGGGCTCCAGTACGAGATGCTTTAGGCCCGAGGAGCCCTCGATTTCATTAGCGCCCGTTGCACAGGGCTAGGTAGCTGGGTCAAAACTGAGCCACGACAGCTCTGTAGCCCAACTTGTCAAGTCTGCACCATCTCACGGCTTCGCGACATGGCAGTAGAACTTGGCACACCTGCATCCTTTACCACTACTTCTTGAGCGAAGCCTGTAAAAGTTCAGACGCAGATCAAAGAAATGTTTGAGCATTGCTGCCATTCCAGCCGGCTTCTCCAATGACACATCCTGGTCAACTCGTCAACTCGTCAAAAACGTGTCTGCTGAGGAAACATCGAGGGTCTACGGTTCCCACACGTTTATGGTGCACCACTACGCCCCCCCACCCAAAAACAAAAGCTTGTTCACCATAACCCCTCTGAACCTGAAACCCTAAAACCGAAAGTTCTAAACCCTAAAACCCGAGGCCCTAAACACCCTAAACCCTGACAGCCCTTAAACCATTAAAGCCTGAATGCTGAAGATCCTGAACCCAAACAAGCCATAAGCCCCACAAAAGGACCCTGAGCCCTTAACCATGAAAATCCTGAACACTACTGGTAAAGGCATTAAACCCTAGAAACCGAAAAACTTGGAACCAGGAAAACCAAAAACCTAACCCCTAAACACCCGCCCTAAGCTATCTCCTCCAACTTAACATTTCTGCTCAGGTTGACTAGGACGCGCCGGTTTCGTTGCAATGAGTTGATGCAGATGCAGATAGATAATGTTGAAGTCAGATGTAGCAACGAAGATGCAAAGAGAGTCTGGGGCTTACACGGCTTAGGGAAAGCTCTTGGCAGCTTTTCCGAGGCTGGCTGGAAGGGCAACTGCGTTCGCAGAAGCCCTGCTCACATGCCGAAGAGCTGCCCGAGCATGGGATTGGCATACCTTCCGCACTTTAACAATACGAAGTGGCCACAAGGCCGTCGTTCATGGTAGGCTAACAAAACATCTCTCTCAGCCGGCGCACTGCATGGGACGAACATTCGGATGAGGCACATGCGCAAAGGAAGTATATTTTGGCCTCGATGCAGGTGATCGGAAGAGAACATGCGAAAACGAAAGGCGTTGCAGATCACCCATGATCGGGTCTTCCCGGATTTGCCGGAAGCTTCCACCAACAGAATGTCAGTTCCAGGGAAAGAACTGTCGCGCCAAGGTTGAACTCACGAGTCCACAGCTCCCCTACATGCACCTCCTCCACAAGCCATGCCCCTCACCGCGCTTGTCAACAACGGTTCAGGCGGCTCCAAGCCGCAGACGTCATCGTCTTACCGTCCAGTCTGATGAAAGCACCCTGTCCAAGCATTCACATGCGTGCTGGCCAAGAAGCATCAGAACACAGCATCAGCTCTGCTTCCTAGAGAAGCACTCTGTAAGAATCGGCGGCCTTGTTGCCCATCTGGTCACAATAGTTCGGGGCGGAAAAGACTGTGACAAGTCGGCCGGAATGCTCGATCTCGTAGCCTTGGCCCACAGAAGCCGCTTCCCTGCAGCATGCAGACCCTGTAGCCAGCTTGCATGGTCCAGGACCCCAGGAGGTGGATACTCGTTTTGTGGTGTTTTGTGAGATCTCGACGTCGCACACAAAAAAAACCAGGTCTGGTTTCCGATCAGGACTGTCTTCTGTGCACACCCGAGACAAAACTTAAGAAAGTCCTGTCTCTAGCGTCTAGTGAAAGGCTCATCAGAGTTTAAAACCTCTCTAAAGTTCTATTCTAAAGAGCCCAGCACGCAGAGAGACTTTCGACTGGGAGCCATGCCTTCCTCCTTCATTTCGTGGCTACCTTTGGAGGCGTCGGGTCGACTTCATCGAAGTGTCTCGTGCCCTCCACACCAAGATCATTGCAAACCGAGAGACGTATAACCATTTTCAGATTGTTCGTTTTCAGGAAGTTCTCAGTGACATCCTCAGAACAAGTCCAGCCTGAAACGCGAACTGAACTGCGAACAGGCGTAGCTAGTTCCTGTATTTCTTCTGATACAAGTTTATAACCCGTCCGGCTCCTGACCGAAAGCGACACCAACACCTCGCTTTGACGGCTGACGGCCTCAACTGCTTTCGAGATTGGGCGATGATGAAACGAGCTTGGTTGGCAGTCGCTGCATGAATCTGTGCTGTCAGGACACGCAGCTGCACCACAGCGAAAGATGTGACCCTATGTTCTGGTAAACAATGCGTCCTAGCAGCCAAAAACTTAAGAACCGCCCTTTATCTGTGGACCTCTAGAGGCCAGAGTCCTGGAGAGTACAGTCTTCCGCCCGCATCTTTCATGTCTCAAAATTACGACGGCAGCTGATTCTTTGCTTCATGCGATGCTTGGTCGCCCCCTCTTCGCCGCACACGACTCTCACAGACTGCAGCAAGCGTTGGTCCGGCTTGAAGTCCGGAGAAAAACAACATGGACAGCTGAATCCTCCCTTCACCTGCATCCCTTGCCCCGAACCCGACGCAAGCCCTAAAACTTCTTCTCGACCTCGTCCCGGTTGCGGATCGCTCCACAACCTGGCAGAGACCGGTCTCAAGCACTGACTGCAGAGCTGTGGTTGTGCAAGATCTGCAGTTCCTACTGGTTGCCCCAACTGGCAGGGAGTGCATCTCTGTCATGAGACCCTCATCAGGAGGTTCTTGGTCTCTGTTCACCTGCAAAGATTGCAGCACCGCAGGCTGCGCTTGAGACTGGCAGCCGCTTTCATGCCGCAAGTTGGAGGTCCCAAGACTAATTCTGCGAATACAGCAATTCTCTCCTGCCTTTCTGATTGCGTCCAGCGTCACGTCATCCTTGTCTGGAACACTGAGAGCTGCGAAAAAGCTTGCGAATCGGGGAGCAAAGTGTTTGCGATCTTGTCCCCCGCCTTGGAGAAGAGTCCTCCATGAACGACAAAGACCTGCATTGCCGGGATCTGACTCCATGCGGAAAACCATCCGTGTGCCCGACTGCCTTCTAAGGAGCGGCGCGTCTCAAGCAGCACTTTAAAATCATTTTACAGTCTTGCAGTGTGATAGAATCTTAGAATCTTCAAGATGATGCACACCTAGAATCAGATGACATACCTCCAGCTCTGTGGGGAGGGAAGCCACAATGAAAGAAAGCCACAAAGTAATGTGAGCTGGCCTGATTGTTGATAACATGGCATAGTGGCAGAAGGCAGAACGCTTCACAAAAGAGCTGGTATAGCTCCTCGTCGTACCTCACAGAAGCATCAGAGCTGCTTGAATCAGCCGAGCGCTGCATTCGCCGTCCGCATTGGCTGGCTCGTTTGCAGCGCACTTTTTCGTGACCTCCCCCTCGAATCCGTACAACTTGTTCATGTTCCTGACAAGGCTGGGGTGCCAAATTACAAAGCCCTGGCAATCCTCCACACACGTGCGAGCACGATATCCCATCCCGCGGTCTCTAGACACATCGTCATCACGTCTCGTACAGACTATTCAATGCAGCCGCCTTGTTTCGTGGTTACCTCTAGCCAGATGAAGATGCTTGGGGAAAGCCTTGGACATCGGGGACTTGCGCGATTGAATCAGCAAAAGGTGTGCCTGCATGAAAGTGCTGTGTTGAGGCCGCCCTAGACAGCCACATTTTGCTGCACAGCCAGCCATGCCAGGCTAGTGCCAAGCCCAAGGCAAGTTTCCATGCAAACAAAGTCAAGATGACCTGCATCGCCAGGCTGAAAGTGCTTCCCATGAAGCACCCGTGGCAGAACGTTAGACCATGCCTCCACAGAGAATGACCCTCGATCCACGAAGTCACCGTTGAACAGGTACGGATTGTCCTGAAAGCTTTGGCGCAGGTTGGGACGCGGCTTTCGCAGGGTGAACGTGCTCCCAGTCGCCTGGGATGGCACGCCGTTCATCGAAAAGATGTTCAGCAAGTCATAGAACCTCCGTCGCTCGCGGTGATTGCGACGCACAGCATCAAGCCAACTCCCTGCTGTCGGAAATTTGGCCAGGGTCTGCATGCAGCCCTTTACAGGTAGGCACCAACCGTCGTGAGACATTAAAGGCTTGCTACTTTAAGCCAATGGCTGGCCATGCACGTCGCCACACACCGTCACCTCACAGTTGCGCGAGGACAGCACTCGTCATTGATGCTACATTACTCCGCACTCAATTGAATGAAGGAGCCCTGACACACCATGTAAGTTCATGCATGTCAGTCCACAGCACAGCTTCGTGCACCGTCGGTGGCGAACCTCGCCAGCATCGGGGACCTCGATGTCGACAAGAGTGCTGGATCCTTTTAACCTGGCGGGCCATTCTTGTATGAACAATCTAGTGAATCTAGTGAATCTAATTGTCATGCCGGCAGGAAGGGGAAAAAGAAAACCATGTTGTGAGAAGAAATGAGGAAACGTCATGACTGAAAGAGGCCAGGGCGACATTTCTATCATGTCCAGGACCTTGGCTCTGAGAGCTACACACTCTGCCGGCCACATTCTACACTAGTCCACCTGGTGCTACGCAACCACAGGCATGTAAAATGCCATGAGTGAGGGCCGTGCTATCTGGTAAGCATACTTCTTCGCGATGATCTTCTCCTGCTCTGCTTGCACAGCGGGGCTGCCCCTACTGCATCTACAACTCCGCTTGACGCACGACAAACTCAAGCTGGAGGAAGGACTGCACTGGTGAGGTTCTAAGTCTAAAACAACCTTCTGGGCGTTGGGTTGTGGATTTGGTGTCCTCCTTCTGGTGCTGCATAAGCGACTGGCAGAACTCGGCTGTGCAGGCTCCGGACTGATACACGGGTCCTTGCACAAGAGACGGAAGGGACTGCAAAAAGAGCAGTTCCAGGTTTCATGACGACCTGCCGGTTCTTCTACGATTGGACTTGCGAAACTTGGCCCGCAGAGCTGAATCCACCTTGAAGCACCAGCTTGAAGCACAGGTGTGCGTCCTGCATACGTCGAGTCGACGTCCATGTGAGCCACGTCCACAGTCTGGCCTCGATAAAGGAGAGCTCAGCTCCATGGTAGCTGATGTGAACACGTTCACTCGCGGGTCGGATTGGTTTTATTACACGGTTGCAAAGCAGACCGACAAATTGGCCCCGCGCTCGCCGGCTTCGTTTTCTCGCAGCCGATAGCCTTTGCGAACTTGTCTGCATTGACCTGCATGCGGAGGACTCCAGGCTCTCGTAGGCAGCCAATTCGTGCAGCTGACAGGTTGGGATTTGCATGAACCTTGACCATTGCAAGTTGCCAGGTTTGACACCCACAGGTGCCAGAATACGACTGTAAGAGGGCAAAAGCCAGCAGTGAAAATCCATACTGTACTACATCTTTGTGCTGCACGCTTGCTTCAGAATCTCACCCCCGACTGTCGGCGAACCTGCTTTTGGCATTGCTTCAACTTGTCCCTAGCATCCTGCGGACACAGACCGTAACATGTCGCGTTGTCAATCTTTCCTAGATACCTTGTTTGTGGCAATGGAGCGCCTCAGACCGCAGAATGGGGTCACAAAAGTGCATGCAGCCTGCAGCCTACTCTGTCTCGTCCTTGTCTTGGGGCGCGAGCCTTGCTATCTTGAGAACAGCATGCCATGCTCGCTTGCTAGCAATTCGGCACGACCATAAACGGCTTGCGTAAGTGTGGCACTTACACAGCTGCGTAAAGTCCCGAAGAGCTTCCTCCCAGCAAGTCAAGTCATACGCCCCAAAGATAAGGGATGAAACAGATGCAGCGTCTCTCGATTCATGTCTAAAGCAGCAGACTTGAAACCAGCTCCTTCGGCCGGTTGAGAGCCTGGCCACAACAGCTCGAGCACAGGTTCGTTCTTCCACCATTGAGCGAAAACTCTCCAAGTGCTGAGCCATGTTGGCAGTCCCTCTCCTGCCAAGGATATCGAAGCGAACTCGATCCAACAACACATCAAGAACGCAGAAGCTGCAAATGGCCTGTACCAGCCCTTTGGCCAGTCTTCTTTTACTTCTATGGCTTTCGTCGCATCCACCAATGCAGAGCCTGACAAGTTGATCGCAGGCTTGGCATCTCCAGGCCCACGCTGTCTTGCGATTCCGAGAATGGAGCCAAAATTTTCCATCTTGATGTGGCAGAAAGCTCTGTTGGCCTCTGGCAGACGACATAATCTCTGAAAGGACTTCAGCTGTCAAACTGAGCACAGAACATAGTAGACATGCAGGTTGGGGTTTTTGCCGCTGTCTGCAGCAACGCCGTCCAATGAGTTCAACCCATCATCCTGCATGTTCAAGAGAAATTGAAACCAGGAAATTCAAAACTATGCATGCCACGCTGAGGCCTCTGATTCGCCGAACTCGATCGCGAAAGAATAAGCTACCAGTGCTTTTGCCTCGTTTTGCGAATCGGCACGAATCTCATCCACTGCACAGATTACTCATTCGCAAGATCACCTGTCGACAATCCATGTTGCCACATCCAAGCCCAATCAATGGACGGGACCATTAAGTGTCCCGCATACTTCCCTTCTTGGAATAACCTCAAATTGTCATGTGCATTGAGCATGTCCTGTTCGAAGGGAACACACAGCATCTGATAAACCGGGTCACTTGTTGCCTTCTGCCTTTGCGTTCTCTGCTTTTGCAATCTCCGCCTGCAAGCTTGCACTCGACTCGGAACACATGTTCTGATTTTCACAACCTCGGCCATAGCAGTCATCTTTGCTTCAAAGCCCAACACCTGGAAGAAGTCTTCGGACAATGCTGCATAAGCATGCGAGCTATGTTGGATGGCATCACACTGCACATTGCAGAAATAATTGCTACCATCCAACGTCTTGCAAACGCCACATGGCATACCCTGCAGTCTGAGAGCATGGCAACGCGACGACCATGATGAGGTCATGCCATTTCACGCACTAACATGCAGCTGCAGCCAAAACACGCGCACGAGCATCACTCAAGTCAGCTTTGAATGTGTCTGTACATTTACGAAAGCTCGCACAAACTTGCAGGCAGAATAATGCAGGCACTGCCGCAAGCACCATAAGGATTGTGTTGCCAGCCTGTACAAGTTGCTGCAACGGTGCGTGCGAAGCAAACGACATGGAAACTGTTCGCACTCAAGCTCTCAGATTCTGATACGGCACCATTGCAACCCGAATAAATGTGCATGCGGACTTTCGAACATGTACATCGTTCTTTCAACGGGCAGGCTGGCTTTTCCGGGCAAGAGATCTTGAAGTTTGGATTACTAGTGGCTTATGCTTGCCGTTTTGTGGAACGGAACGCTGCCAAAACAAGATGCAATTTGGTCGATAAACATTGCGTACTTGGCATGTATTCAAACCTGGATTCAACTTTAATTGAACTTGAACTTAATTCCACCAAAGTTCGAATTTGGTTTTTTCTGGGTTAAACTCGAAGAAAAGTTTGATCTAGGTCAAATCAGGTTCGACTCTTGCTTTTTTTGTTTCTCGTTGAATGAATGAAAGTGGTAACAGCAGGTGTTGTAAAGAGGTACTGCAAACCTCAACAACTAGAAGACCGAGCTAGGATCCGGAGACCTTCATGAAAAAAGGAGCCCTCCTTCTTAAAGCCTTCGAAGGCTTCGAAGCGAAGGCTTCGAAGAGGCCTTCAAAGGGACCTTTAAAGCCTTCGAAGGGGGCTTCGCACCCGACATTTTGTTCGGTTTCATTTTCTGCAGTCTGCCCAGGAAATCCAGTACACCAGACGTTAGCAAGGCAAAAAGAGTGAAAGCTTGAAAAAGCTAGTTAAAAGAGCCGGAAGAAATGAGAAGAACCAGAAGCAGTGGAGAGACTTTTAGACCAAATCAAACCTTTTCACGCTAACTAAAGACAAATATCAGTACAACTTAGTGGGCTGCGGCGGCTGGGCTCTTCCCACTCGTGGACACGTTTTAGAAGGGTTTTAACTGAGTAGAAGAACGCTGGAGGCGTTTGGCACAAGCACAGAGAAGGGCCATCGGCCCATCGACCCCAGTGCTTTTTGCGCAGTGCTTTGCTTTGCTTGGTCTAGGACCACACTTCCGCAGGCCTGCTCGACCTTCTAGGGCCTTAGGGTTTTCACTGAGTTTGGAGTTTTCAGCCCCAGGGCCTTGGTGCTTTTGTTTTTTGAACCCTAAGTTTTTGTTTGTTTGACAGAGCCATGGCCGATGCAGCCATGGCGAAGCAGGAGAAATCAGAGTCGCAGGAAACACCCGAGGAAGAGATGACTCAGACTCCCGTCAGGGAACCCCAGTTAGCAAAGGCGCCGCCGGTATTACCACCACCGGCTGCAGCAGCTACCACGGTGAGCGCAGAGCTTTCCCCGCAGGACCTCGAGGCCTTTAGGGCCTGGCAGAGGCAACAAGCAGAGACTGCAGCGGCTGCCGCGCAGCCCACATCGCCGCCAAAGAAGCAAAAGGACAGAGGAGGAAGAAGACCTAGCTGACTTTGAGCGCAAGCTCATTGATCTGGACATCAACTTTGCAGACCTGGACCCGGAGTTGCAAAACCGACTTCGCAGCAGTAAGAGCTCTCGAACTGATTTTCTGGCGATACACAGCACGGACAAATGCTACAATCCTGAAGATGGCACCTGGATGCCACAGCCAACGACCAAGAAGCGAGAGTTTGGAGCCATTACGGGACGCGAAGTCCCCAATATGACTACAGAGGCCAACGTACAATCAGCCATGATGAAGTACCACGAGCAGTCCATTCTACCCAGCTTGGATCAGCTTTATCAGTGCTGCGATGCTTTTGTTTACAAGATGGCACAGCATGAGTTTGCCTTGACGCAGTATACGCTTGAGAGACAGGCGGCCCAATTGCAGACATTGGAGCGCGCGCGTACCAACAAGACGGTTTTATTGATGGATTTGCCACCTATATACAGCAAAAACTTGACAACAATATTCAATATTATCTTCAGCTTTCGAATCTTTCCTGGGACACTATAGCTGCTCTACACAACCATATGGTCACATCACACACCTCAGTTGTGAGAGTGGAGTTTATCACGGAACAGCAGGCTGATCTGGACCCCGAAAGGGGAGGAGCCCAAAGTGGAAGGTATTCTTGCTTGGTTTCGGTCACGACAAGTTCTACGAGGAGGCCTTGACACGGTGGCATGGAAAATTTTCCCGCCGCCTACGATACACTTTTTCTAATCCAGGCGCTTCGATGCGCGACGGCGAACCGCACGACTGTGCAGAGAGCTTCTTTTGACAAGTTTTTCGAGCTTACGACCGCGTCTTACTTGCAGACTTTTCCCTATCCGATCATGCCGGTACGTCTTAGATGATCTAGCTTCGATGCTCGAGTCTCACCCCATGTTGTCCTTCCAGGGCGCTGGCGGCATGACTGCCTTGACGGCCCAGACTTTTTTGGATTAGAGTTATGAGGATTACGGCAAAGGATTCCTAAAGGCGAAAGGTTCTGGAAAATCTAAGCAATCCCAGAAGTGTCAGAATTACCAAGGTCTCGACTTAACACACCCGGCAGCTTCTATCAGGGATGGTTCCAACCCAGAGGAAGACTACATCTGCAAGAGTTCGGATAAAGGCCAGGAAAAAGGAAAGCAGAAATCCAATGATAAAGAGAAGCAGTCCAGACCAAAGGCGATTGGAAAGAGGAGGGTGGTGACCTCAGAGGCTGCATGATGGAGTCAAGTTCAAATAACACACGATCCAGTTGAAGTATCATACACTTAGTCGCTGTTGGAAGTGTAGTCCAGATGTCTTGTACTTGCTTCGATAACCAATACTTGCGGTGTTTCTGAATGAACAATCTTGGGCATGTCCTAAGGGTTTCTTGCAAAGCTGTTGGAAGTTGTTGGTGCAAGAGCAACGTAGGGCTTGCCACTAAACTGTTCTTCCACATATATCCCGGTAGTACCGGCTGACCTTTGCATTCCGGGCAATCTATACAGTAGCCTAGGGCACAGGAGCAAGTAGCACAAAAAATATTTCTTGATCAAATGAAGAAACTATATGATGGTACCGATTACGCTAATTACACCCCGATGCAACACGCAGCCT